TATTCAAATAGACATCACATAGGGTTTTTACTTAGGTTTAACTATAGGTCGGGCCGGGTTTASTTAAGTTTAACTATAGGTCAGGCCGGGCCGGGCTATTTTGGCAAAGCCCGAGCCCGGCTCGAATTTTATGCGGGCTGGGCTTTTTACCCGAGGTTAAGCCCGCAGGCCAAAAATCCTGTTCAAGCCCGTCCGGGGGTCGGCCGGGCCGGCCATGAACAGGTCTACCCGGAAAAGACAAACACACCACCACCTGTCGAGAGACGTGGGTGCAGTCTGCTGGGTTGGCAGGGACTGCACCGTCAGTCAGAAGACGTGATGCAGTCTGACGGGTACGGTCTCGTCAGATAAGAAGCTTCATGTGAACTCCGCGTCGCTTAACAGTGAGCTGCTTTGTAGCAAGCTRCCTTGTAGGGAGCTCCTGGATGTGTCCTGAGGTGATTCCACCTGAGTTTGCCTTCGGGGCAATCTTCTTGCTAAGTATTGGAGTGAGCTGGTTCTCTCAACTCGCGAGTTGGGATAGACTTGTCTTGGAGTATTCCCTTTCCACATGTTGGGGTCTATGAGCTCGTGCTGTAGCGTGTTCATTCCATGGCGAGCTATAACGTAGCGAGCTGTCCTAGGAGGACCTTAACGAGCTTGCTACTCAGTCGTAGCTAGGTTGTCATGCTGAGTTGCTGCTTATACTAAATCATGTCCACATGTCACCTTCTTAGGAGGTCTGATCAAATTACCCTCCATCAGAAATGACAATTAACAAGATAATTCTAGAAAGAAAAGTAATCACATGTTTTAAATATGTAAAGAGGACATTAGAATTATTGGAATAAAGCATTGAATAAGCGCTATTCACTCATTAAATTCTAGTGAGCCAAGAAGCTATTATGCAAGTCCTTCCAATAAGGATTTCCCCATCTTATCATGGAAGTTTGAGGTCCAAGAAAATAGTGGAAGGTATCATTATGATTAAAATACCCTAAATCATATAGATTAAAGTGAATAGGACAAAGACCAATTTTCTAGATTGACTAAGTAATTTAAAAATAATTTTAAATTCTAAAAGGTTAGCTTGTATCCTAATTGCACCAGTCTTGGAAGCCCTTGGAGATAATGCATACACTGAAGAATCATTTGCACATGAATGGGAAGAAGATGATTTATCTTGGATCCCAACTATTTTGGGTCGATTTTAAAATTTTTTTATTTTATTTTTCCATTATAGAAAACAATTATTGTTTATCACACTCATTTTTCTTCAACATAATTAACATAAAATATTATAGATGTGCCAATTTTTTATATTTTTAAAGCATTTTTTTTAATTTTTGGGTTGAATTGATCACTCACCACCTAGATGAAAGAATGGTTTCATTTTTGAGTTTTTTTTTGTTAAAAGTATTGGATATAAATCAAATTAGTAACATTTATTGATGAAAAAAACCTTGGTAATGTTGTGTGCTCTAAAATCAATTGTGTGACACTATAGAGGGTCAATTTCATACTATTCACATTTATTAATAACAGGGCTTTTTTGTCATTCATATTTGCCCCTTTAGTTTCATATGATAGACCATAATTTCTTTGTTAAKCAAAAATATTCTTATGTATGTTACAAATTTTGAAATATGTTTTACCAAATACAAAGATGGTAGAACAATGGTTCCTAGTAATAGGATCAAGTGAGCTTTGATAGTCTAGATAGACTAGCGCATATTATGATTGCTTTATGAGGCAATATATCTAAAGTCACTTGTGTAGATACACTAAAGCAAATATATGGGTGCCTATTAGAGAACATGTTCATTGAGCATGACCCATATTAGAACAATTACATGGAATCACTGGTCAATAACTACTTTTAACATCCTAATCTTATTAACATCCTAATCTTATTGATAATCTTCAGCCTAGAGGCATCATGGATATCTTATATATGGGCATTATGGTATGATGGTGTAAATATTTATGCTCTAACCAAGTGATTTAAGCATGCAAATACTAGTTATAGTGTCTTATGCATGAAGGTATGTGAATGCACAACATGGAATCTATTACTCTCCACGAGAGAGAATGTCCTATATAGCTGAAGTTGATGAAACTCAAAAAGTGTCCCTGTGAGTCATCATTAGTTCAATTGGACATATGACTGATACAGTAGGGTTTAACTTATTCAGAATGACCTTTTGCTCTCCCACGACATTGTATGATAGAAGGATTTAATTATATAGTAACTGGATGAAAAGGTTCAAAGCTACTAAATTAAAATCGTTAGGGTAGCCATGACGTACTACTAGGTGGCATTCATGGTTTGTGGAACTCCTGTAAATCGTGGTTTTTAAAACTGGACCGGACTGGACGATTGGACCAGAAAAATTGAGAATCAATTACCTGACTGATTTCGTTTTTCCCCAAAACCGTTGATTTTGGTCAGCAAACTGTTGAATTGACCGGTTAATCATTTGAACCGTTCGAACGGTTTTGACCGTTTTTCAAATTTTTAAATTTTTTATTTTTTTGTCAGAATGGGCTGATCGTTCGGGTCAAACGGTTGGACCATTTGATCTGATAACCGGACCCCTGACCTGTTCGATCGCCGGGTCGGTTTTAAAAACCATGCTGTAAATAATAGTCTATTGTCACATTCAAGGGGGAATTAAAAGTGTTTTAATTCAATTCACCTATAAAATGTTATATCTTGAATGCTGAAGAAGGGACTTAATTGTAATAACCAAGGACTTGATTATAATAGGAGGATTTATTGGATAAATCCTCTCCTAATTAGAAAAGGTGTACAAATGGGGATGGCCCTAGGATTATAGAATACACTCTATCTAACAAAGGATTGCTAGCACAATCTTGGAGTCACCAAACAATCTTAGAGGATCGGGATCTTTGCTTGCTGTTGCTTCGTGTGGCTCAATCTTACAGGTTAAAGAGTTGTGAGGCTTCAATTAGAATTAATTTTCTGAAGTTCTACTTTAGCAAATTGATTCTGCATAATATTGTTTCAGAATTAGGGATTTGTGTACCACAATGGGCTCCACTAGAATCTTTTAGATAAAGGATTTAACGTGAGAGAATGGGAGTTAATGCATTATATAAAACTTAAAAGAGAAGGAATTAAATGAGTTGAGTAATAGTTCAAATTACATTTTCTATCCTTGAAAATTAAAACTGAGTAATATCAAATATAAGGGTATTTTAATCAAGATGAAAAGTTCGACAAGATCATTCATACTTTTAATAGTAGTGGAAAAAATTTAAAAATAAGATTTATTGAGAGAAAATAGGAGTTAATAACTTAAATTTAAGACAATAAGACGGATTTGAAGGAGGTGAGAAGTAGTTGTTCGAATTACATTTGTACCCCCATAATTAGAGAGGGATCAAATTTAAAAATATGGTTATTTTAGAGAAGAAGAAAAGTTCCACAAGCTCATGCATACTTCTAAAAATAGTATAGATATAGATTTATATAGATTATGGCATCAAAGATTGAACCATTTGGCCCAAATGGTTAAACTACTTATTCCCATCTAAACTGAAAAATGGTCCTATTTCTAGACCAGTTTAAAAACACAAGTTGTCATACCTTTAAAATCATTGGGTATAGATTTGATTGGTAGAATTTAATGGTGAAAACCAAAATTACTTCAAAATGTTGGATTTGGTGAGAAAGAAGGGAAGATAGTGCATTAAATATAAAATTTAATTAGAAAGAATAGAATGAACTTATTTTAGGAGTTCAAGTCACAAGTGGATTGATAGGCCTTATTTTTGTAATTTAGGTTCAAAGAATGGAATTGATAGAGGACATCATTGTAATCTTGCATACATGACCAACTTTTTATGGAAAATCAAGGTTCAAAACATCGATAGGGGCGTATCCAGCCATATTGATACTTTTTTTTTATTTTTTTTCAAAACCGATTCAGAGGGACCGGTTTAAGGCTCCTCCACCCCCTGAACCGGTCAGAACCCCGACACACCCCCGTAAGGGCGTATTGGAGAGCTCCCGAAACGATACGTATCAACCATTACGGGCCGTTACATGTCGATGCTTTGAACCTTGTGAAAAATGTAAAATTGTAGGTTCGTAGAAAAAAAATAAATAAAAGTAGGGGGTTGTTCCACATAATAACTCCTATAGAACTATATAATCTTAAAAGTATTTTGGATCCATTATAATTTCTAAGAAACATATCACATCACATGCAATTATAAATTTCAATTTATTAAAATAAAAAAGCATTCTTCTTAATTCCACCAAGTTTTCTATCGTTTTGATGCAAATTATCAAGTGTTTCTACAAAAAGAAACTCTACCACAAGATATAAAGCGTGGAAGTGAGAAATGTGCTGGAAGAATTAAACCAATTCTGCCAACTCAAATTAATAGTTCTTTTTGATAAAAAAAAACTCGATTAATAGTTTGATACAAGTCAGCATACAGCGCAATACAAATGATAATGACTGCCCCGTGCAATAAATATGCACCAACTCCATTCTATTCATTCCACATGCCACGGATAAACACCTGTGTCTATAATTTTACAACATAATTGAATACACGTGCTTTTTATCTATAAAAAAAAATCCATGGATACATCTTCAACTTGCAACTGTTCATATCTTTGCACTAGTTTTAGTCTCTGTGCTTCACCTATCAAAAAAAAAAAAAAAAAATCAATGGATACACCTTCAACTTGCAACTGTTCATATGTTTGTATTAGTTTTATAATTTTCTTTTGGCTGCAAGCATTACTGTTATAAATGCTTGTCTACATGTAACCAAGCTATTTACTTTACTTTTTCTTACTTTTATCACCTATTGGAACCTCTTTAGATCATTTGAAATATCTTCTTTTTTAATAATAACCTTACCAGTTTTCTCACCCATTCAACATTTGCTTTTTTTTTTCTATACTCAGTCAGACATTTTATGACCTTTATTTCTTATTTGCTCCCAAAACAAAAAAAAAAAAAAACAAAAAACAAAAAAATTTCAAGGGCTTGTTTTAAAAAAAAAAAAGCAAATGCATATTCCACAAAATCGCCACATAAAGCTGGCTGTTAGTAAATGGGTATGTAACCTATTAATTGAAAGGGAAGACACCTAGTCTAAAATTTCAGAACTCTTGTTACAAGTGTTATATACAATCTCTTGTAAAGAAAGGCTCCCACTATGATGAAATTAACAAGTTAGTACCATTTAAAAAGATTGAACCCATTGCCATTCTCTACCATAGTCTCTTCGGAGGAAGCTGATCCACTCTCCATGCTGTCATCTGAACTGTCTTCTGGAAGGAGTTGTAYTCGATCAGCATGTTCAATAATCCAATCAGTGAATTCTGGGGAGGATGCCCATTCAGCAATAGCTTGCCTAGTTGATTCCCGTGTAAAATCATCCCACTCTTTCTTTGAGAATCTCTTACGAGTTGGTGTCTTGTGAAAGGTTGAGTAATAGTCCTGCTGGTTTGTTCCTCTGGGAGGGGATGAAAAGGCCAAACCTACAATCATAAAGAAACATCCGAAGAGGATCATGAAAATTACAAAAGAATGAATCACCTGTAAAGAGTGCAAGAAATTCAGTTCCGTTGGACATCCCGAATGGAATGCATGCATGATGTGCTTAGGAACCAAACATCTCAAAGACTACATTTATGAGAGTAAAATTTTTAATGATAGTTCAGAAGAAGTGTTTGCACTAAGATCAACAAAAAGAAGGCCCAGAACAAGCCGCCAGAACCTGTCTCCCTTGAATTTTATGCAACAGAGGATGTGTACTGAAGCATGTTGAGCAAAGGATGCACACACCAAACAATGCGAGGAACTTAGAAGTTAGAAGTGATTCATCTCCAGTCCATGGTAACATCTAATGCTTCATCATTGTCAATGCGCTTTCTAAATTGTTTTACTTGGAATCATGTTTGATTGATTAATATAGAAACCAATAGGAAATGAAGTACACAGAAAWTTTTCTTTAAATGCAAGAAAATAATAATTTAAGGAACAAACCAAATGCGTACATTTGGTCGGAGAGTTGGACCAAGCAAAAGAACTCCTTGGGGTATTCCACATTGCCCTTTGAGATCCCACCTTAGTGGACCTACTAAGGAATTCGGCACGGTTATGATTTCCATATGCATGTCCATTCCTCCTGGACCACAGGCTTCCATTCCCAAGACTTAGTTTATTCCTGCATGAAAGCATACTATCATAACTCCAAATTGAGGAATAATATTCTGAAATAAGCAACCCAGCAACACAACAAGACTAGTAAATGAGAATGTCTCACTGTTACTGGGTCCTTGGACTTTGCTTACCAAGAAAATAAAAGACAAAAAAGGGACCAAAGAGATGTACATGCAGGTGGTCAGAACTAATTGTTCAATAAATTCAGCAACAGAACAATATGATGGATTTTTTTGAGTAAAAGGTGACTAAGATTTTATTAATAAAAGGTGGTACATGAGAAAATGTACACCAATGCAAAGAAGAAAAAAGGTTACAAAGGTAGATCACTATCACTAAAAAAACAATCTCTGAGCACCAGATGTAGCTAACCCACATCTTCTACAATGTTCAGCTCCCTGGGAATCCAGTTCAATTTAGCCTGCATTGAGTCCAAGATGTCTCTAGCTTCTGCCAAGAAATGAGCCAAACTCCAAGGCCCACTGTCCTTTTCTTTTAGCCATCTTATCATATTGGCTGAATCACCTTCAATAGCTAGGGAGGAAATTCCTAACATTTTAGCACACGAAGTCAAATGGGGGCTGCTACTATTTCTGCCTTTGTAGAATTAGCACAACCAGCCAGTCCTCTAAAAGCCCAACATATGTTCCCGTCTCTGTCCTGGATTATACCTCCAACCCCTGCTACACTAGAAGAATCTTGAACACTCCCGTCAAAACTTAATCTCATCATCCTTTCCTCCCTTTTAAAACAAATATGAGGAGCATCTTGTCTTGGGGATGACAGAAAGGATTTCCTTTAGATTTTGCTGGAAAAAATTAAAAACAAATCATTGTGAAAAGGAATCATGGCCAATTTGCTGGCTCCAAAAGGAGTGGGGATGGTGGGGCTATATCAATGAGAAAAGGAAGTTTAGATACTTGATACAAGGAATGGAAGTTAAGTTGAATTGGGTTAAGAGGGATGCAAACTGTTTGCCCGATACATTGACCAAACAAAGTGTGGGAAGAAGCAATGTTTATTGGGCCATGTTGTAATCTATTTTCTTGAATATATTCAGGGAGTTAAGTTTATCTCCCCTTTGTATTCTGTATTATCTTTTATTTCATTAATGAATTTATTTTCAGTTATTGATGAAAAAAAGGAATTATGGCCAATTTTGTCAGAAAACCTTGAGACTGGAGTGAGGTGGCATAAAGGTAACCACACAGGCTAGAGGTGTTAGTGACCCTGTTCAGACCACTACCCATTCAACTTCCCCCCAGCCCTTGCAGTGCCAAATTGCCAATTGCAATTTCAAGATAAAAGGTGCCTGGAAAAAGAGAGCATTATTTTGCACATGGGATAGCACTATTGGGTTGAAATCTACATGAAGATAAGATTATATGGGCAATGGGCACAACATACGGAGCTTTTGTGGTTAAAAAACAAAAGAACAAAAAAGTAAAAGAAAAAGTCTAGGTGAATGCCTATTTTCAAATCTACTAGGCAGCCTATTACCTAGAACCAGTTACACCTTAAGTGCATCAATTAACGCTGGCCACCCTTTCCAACTTATAGAACTTTCTGGATCATTCTAAATTTTTTTCCAAACACAAAATAATCTATTACTGAGGTATATTAAGGTCAACCTGTAGTTGAGATGTGCACAACTATAGTGAATCAATCTGTAGATTGCCTTCTGTGCATCGCACATGGAAAACACCATGTAAATGGAACTTACCGTAATGATGGTTGCCGCCAGTTAAGAGAACGGATAATGAGACAGATAACAGAAGCAGAAGCCAACACCATCATTGCTAAAGGAATATCAAGCGTGCTCTGTTTAAGAGTATAAGACCAGAATATAATTAGTATCTTCTCCAAATCAAGGCAAAAGATCCACATGCCTCAAAGGCCAAAATTCACTATCTTCAAACAAAAGGTTTTTAGGATTTAGGTATTCCCACAAATACAAGGACAATTAGATTTATCATAAATAAAAAATAAAAAAAAAATACTTAAAATATAAGAAGAAACAGCATTGCACTTATTTTCTTGATCAGTCAAATTAATCTGCTCAAGGAAGCATGTCTTTCAGCTCCACAAAGCCTTGTCCCCGCACCCTACGTGGGATCAGTTACAAAAATTGCTGTTTTTCCATTATGTTGCCACAGGGTCACACTAAAGAACAGAATATTTACCATGGGATACATGCATTGCTTGTCAATACCAGTTAATAGATTCATTTCACATGATTGGTTAAAATTCAGGCATTACAGTGATTTTAACTACCCTGGTGTTGGACCATAACCCAGCCTGACATTCTGGTCCAAACTCACAAGAACTATGTATTCAATTAACCTTCCAACTTAAAAACAGCATAACTTAGATATCATATATTTATAGGTATTGCATTGCCTCAATAATATTTAAATATGCTATGAATACAACATATCAAGTTATATTCTTATACAATACAATCTATACTACTTTAAAAAGCATGAATAGCCTCAATAATATTTGTGGAATTTTTTTAGGACAAAATTCACCCTTCCATATTTAAATTTATTGATAAAAAATGAGGGGAAAAGGGTAATCAATTATTAATATTAAATGAGTTGAAAAGAGAAAATTATAAGATATTCAATGCATTCAATTTCTTCTCATTAAATCCAACACTTAAGGTATTAATTTGCATTCACCTTCATTGAATCATATATTTAAGGCATTTTTATTCTATTAATTAAAATCTACCGAAAAAAAAAGTGTTTTCATCTAGGCAGGGGTAAGAAATTAAACCATTTCGGATCAAATGGGCCAATCCATGTTGTCACATATAAATAATAAAATTCAAAAATAGATAAAATGAAAAATATAGAAATTAAAAAAATGAAATCAATTTTAACATCATATATTTGGCATATTAAACAATAATAAATATGATAAATAAGAAATGATTTTATTAATGATGAAAATGGAATGTAAAATTTAAAACCAATTAGAAATAAAATTATTTTCCTATTCTCTCTTATTAAATCTCATATTAAGGTATATTCTCTTATTAAATCCACAAAATTAATTTTAATATTATGAAAATAAATATTTTGAAAAATAAATTGAAAACAAAACAATTTTCTTCCCTCCCAATGGTGGTTAAGCAATTCAACCATTATGGGTCAAATGGGTTAATAAATAATGTCATAATTAAATAATAAAAAATTAAAATATATAATACAAGAAATAAAAAGAATTGGATATATCTAATATTGAATATTCATTATACCAAACAAAAGTGTGTATGAAATGTAAGAAGTAATTTTATTAATGATGAAAATGGAAGGCCAAAGCTAAAATCAACCTATAAATGAAATGATGTCATAGTCAAATAATAAAATTTTTAAAAATAGAAAATATAAATAATAACAAAAATAAAAATAGAAAAAAAAATTGGGGCACATATCTAATGTTATATATTCACAAAAATAAATACTGGGTATTATACATTCATTATCAATCATGGAAATGTAATATAAAATTTAGTGTCAACCTAGAAATCAAATTATTTTCCATTTTGGGTTGTGGGTTAGTGGTTTGGGTCAAATGCATTAACCGATGATAATGATAGTTAAATAATAAAAAAGTAATCAAAAGAATATATAAAAAACTATATATTAATTATGTCAAACAAAAAATAAGTATGATAAGTAAAAATTATTTATATGATATAGAAGATATATAATTTAAAAAAATTCAAAAGTAAAGCTATTTTCTTATCTAGATGGTGGATCAATGATCCAACTTTTTTTTTTATCAATAACACCATCTTCATTAAATTAAAAGAAGAGAAGGAATAAGGATACAAAGGGGGAGATAAAATAACTTAGCACCCCAAAAACAAAAAACAAAGGGAATGCAAAGAAAAAGATTAAAAACTAGCACAAAAAACAGACTCCCTATTCACTCCTTACTTGGTCAACCCATCCGCAAATGAGTTGGCACTCCTCTTCACCCAGCTGTACTGAATCTCAATGTCCCTACTCAGCAATAAGAACTGTTTTTTTTCATTGTTAAAGTTCCACAAACCACTGTCCTCTGTCTTCGACCAACTAACCACCAACTTCGAATCACCTTCCAGAATCAAACGGTTGATATTTAATTCCTTTGCTCTTCGAATTCCTTCAAGCGCTGCAAGGATCTCAGCCCTAAGAGAGTCACCTTCTCCAATAGGGCCAGAGAATAAAGCAGTAACAATCCCTTCCTCATTCCTGAAGACTCCTCCAATCCCAGAGGGACCTGGATTCCTTACACTGCTGCCATCAAAATTCAGCTTTATAAAGCCAGAGGGGGGAGGGGACCAAAACGGACAAAGAGTCATCTTGCATCTAGCAATGGAAGCAATCTCTTTCCAGTTTCCTAGCAAGTCATCCACAGGAAAATCTGAAAACAACTCCAAAGATTTTAGCCAGTGGACAGCTCTTAAAAGGATTCGATCTAACAATTCTTCCAAAGTTCTTTCCTTGTCAGAAAAAATGTGTGAGTTTCTTTCTTCCCACAAAGACCAGCATATCGCTGCCCTAATACACCTCCACATAGTCTTCCCTCACTTCTTAGTCCA